CACCATGGTGACTGACAAGATCTATGCAAGGAAGATGAAAAACAGTTTAACACTAGGCTACTTAAAAAATTAATGTCTTAACATTGATTCTTGAAAATGTACCATGTAGCTCCATGGTATTCCTTTAAGTATATTGGTGCATCATGTAAAATGATGATAATTGTATATCTACATCGTACAGAAGGCTATATCAAACAACCATACTACACTTATACTATCACTGTACCACAGTAACGCCATATTGCTTTAAAAAAGCTAACTATATAAAAAAAATGTTAAACACAGTAGTATTAACTTTCACCCCTAAAAGGAGCTAATGAAAAAAATATTTAACTTAAAATTCTTATTAGTGGACATCTAATAAATAGCCCCAAGCACTTTTTTTAAATTTATGTTTTATATAAAACTCTACCGTACGGTTGAGCTGTCAGTCCATGGTCATTTCTATTAGTTATTTTCCAATAATAAACATTCCTTTAACTGTATTAGTATCTTGGATACATTTCATAACCTTCAGGGTCCACAAAGATAAAAAATTATATTGAAGCGTCTCTATAATATAGACGTATGGCAATATATATGTTATATGATGTCCGGAATACGTTGCCTTTGCAAATCAATGAATTTTTTTTATTAAACAACTAACGTTAATTACTTTGTGCGACGACTGAAACATTACAAGTGAAATGTATCAAGTTCCAACTGTTTCTGAACACTCACTTAAAAACACATTTTAAAAAGCTCTTCACAGTACCTGTAAATCCGTGATGTTATATCCTATCCTTTTGTCAGCGAGAGCGCACAGAATTTAACGTTAAGTGAACGTTTTCAAACGTTTAAGGAAGTTCCCAAATCTGCTTTCCTAACGTCATTACTGAAAAACACCTGCACAACCGGAGGCTGCAGTTTCAGGACCGCATTTCCAGGACCCTATAGCTTTTGTAACAGCGCCACCTACCGAATTAGATGATATAGCGGAGGCAACACCCTTCTCGAAAAACACGTGCCTCAAGTTCACTTGACACAGGCAGGAAGTCATGTGATGTTCATTGAAAAGAAAAACAAATAGGTTACTTGTGTGTAAGCGAACTAAATTATAATAATTGCCTATAGTAGAAGCAGACTCTATATGTTTTGGGGCTTTTGTTTTGTTTCCCTTTGTTTAATATCAAGTAACAGCCTAAGATCACTTCAGCACAAACGATGCCCGGTGTTACAATATAATTATTGAACGCCAGACAGTTCAAAATATACGTGAATTTTAACATGTAAACAATGCATCGAATACATATTGGTTACGCGTTGTTTTCGCGTAAAAGGTAGACGCGGAAATGCATATATCGAATATGGCGCCGTAATCATACCAAAAACCAAGCGTCCTTGTGGCGGACATAAATGCCAAAACTATAGTAACACCGGACGCATCTTACACAAGGTTGTTTTACTGTAAAGCACATTCATGCCAGAGATCTTTTATTTACTATTCAGCTAATCAAAACCCTCAGCCGATTACTTTCTTTTTTTCTGGCAGACCAAACTCCAGCCAGAGCTCAGCCAAATGATGTTTGATACTAGACTGTGAAAAAAACCGCATCAGAATTAAGCCAGAAGTTCCGAATGTAAGCCAGACTCAGCCCACACTTGCTATCTGGGTAAGCGTCCAATTGACAGAGTGACGACCAGTCAGCTGCATTCAACCTACCAGTGACACGCAGCAACAAAGCAACACAATCCCATTCATTTCAACAGAGCTGGCTATTTCCAGTGACACAAGCGACATTGACTGTTGGTGATAGGAGGTGGGCGTGTCCAGCGACACACCAAAGTTGATATATGTTTAATTTTATGCAAATACCAATAGGAGTAAAGTCAGTGGAGCGCACATGATCTGTCACTACATTCTGTAGTGCAGAGGTCTTCAACCCTGCTCCTGGGGACCCACTGTCCTGCAAAGTTTATTTCCAACCTGCTTCAGCACATCTGCCTGTGTATTTTCAAGCAATCTTGAGAAGCTTGATTAGCTGCTTCAAGTGTGTTTGATTAGGGTTGTAGCTAAACTCTGCAGGACAGTGGGTCCCCAGGAACAGGGTTGAAGACCTCTGCTGTAGTGGACTGTTGAGGCAAGATGGAGGAGAAGTTTAATTTTAGCGGTCAGCAACTTTCCTATATTTTATGATATGCCTCTGTGCACATAAGGTGGTACTTGCCGTGCTGACTCCGAGACTGAATAGTTTTATGAACCCAGATAGACCAGCGCTTGCTCTTTTACCGCAAATAAATGACCATGATGGCAAAGAACACTTATTATGAGCTGTGGCTCAGACTTTACCATCTGCTCCGCTGAGGAGGACATCACCAGCCTCCTCAAGTTCGACCAAGTTTGTTTACTTTTCTTTCCTAAGTCAATGTATAATTCAGTGTAGGTGGAAATTCGATTGTGCTACTTATTAATGTGATGACACATGGACTGTGATAAAGGCCTATTTATAATGTCACATCAAAATGTTATTTTAACAGTGTAATATCTCGTTATCACGGGGAAAACATTGTTTTTATGATATAATATGTCATTATTATAAGAAAATATACCAATTTAACGACACATTATATCGTTATTACAACAGAAGCATATCGTTATTACAAGAAAATGTGTTGAAGAAGTCTTGGATTACTAGAAGACAGAGACAGCATTGCTGCAGTAGGTTAGGCTACTTCCAGGTAAGTCTCTAGGTAGGTAAGTGTGTGTTCTCTTGACATTCCAGACAACTACTGAAGGTGTATGCACTTTATTATGCTCATGATGAGACCTGAGTTGCAGGTGCATGTGATTAATACTCTGCGTTCAAGTCTTCCTGGGACATTTGTACTTACCAGTTGAGTAATTACGATGTCAGGTGCGTTCAAATCACTTTGGTTGGAACATGATGGCGATTTAACTTTTCAACATAAAATTCAACTATTTTTTTTTAACTCTACATCTACAAAATGATGAATGAAGAATGTGCATTGTGTTTTTGCTTTTTTCTGTTTTTATTCAATTTATGGTGATGTAAACGGAATCATTATATATTTTATGATAATTATACAATACTATAATAATTTGTATATGTAACACATAGTTTTATTGTACATTACAAAAAAGTTATCTTTTTTTTTCATTTCAACAAATTTACCATCAATACAGTCACTGCATATCAATAGTCTTCGGCTGCGTCCATTGCATCCGACACGTTTTCTCACTGACACGCACCCAACTCTGAAACTCGGGGCTTAAAGAAAATCAAGTTTCCCACTCGTAATAATGACTTTGTGATGCCGTTCATGTGCGTTCAACTCGTAAATACGATCTATCTGTCATGACTTGAACGCACCAACTGTTATCGCTTTTCCATCGGTGCTGGAGCCGGAGCCCAACCACCACTTTTTAAGGCAAACTTACTTTGTGGCATTACCCGATATTCATAGTGGCCTGTAGGGGTCACAAAGGTGTTCTTCCATTCGTCCCCACTCTGCATCTGGATTAGATTGAATGTGCTGCGCAGGACAAGCTTGCTGAAGATGGTGGCTCCACGCAGCAGTTCCAGTGCAGCTGGGATAAGGGGAAGTGGGTAACAAGATTTGAAAGTTATTTTATGGAGTAAGCAGTAATCAATACAGAGCATTGTTTGTGAACCGGACATCATTCTGGACCCTTTGCCTGAGGCTTTGCATTACAGGTAATAATGTTATAAATAATATTCTTTCTTTTTTTTTTTTTCTCGCACAGACTAATCGATTCACATCATAAGACCTCAATATATCGTCAGTGGCCAAAAGCATTAATTTTGTGTTTTAGTTACACTTAACATGATACACTGCAGGAGCAGATGTGAGGCACATGCTTGGCTAAGAACTGATGCCATGAATCATATTTAAAAGAAAACTAAATTATAAAATTGAAAAAAAAAATAAAAAAGAGAGAAGTCTGGCAAAAAAGGGCAGGGGCCAAAAGGGTAGGTTCTTGAGCACATCTTTGGGTTTGTGCATGTGCCTGCTAATAACAAAATGGGTCGGAGCTGCTTCATTAGCAGATACGGGTCTGAGCCAAATCTGGTCCAAATCCATGATCCTATGTGTTCTGGATCCGTCACACTGTGTAAGTGGACTCTGATCCGTTCTGTGGCTCAGATCCAGAGCCTGTGATACCTCCGGGGGGAATCCAGTGTGGAGTCAGTTTGTCATATAGGTATTATTCATATAGTCATATAGTAACTTATTTTTACCCATTTTAATAATTAAATTGATAGAAACTAAGACATTATGCTGTTTTATGATCTAATACTGATTCTGTTCTGTTGGACAAATGTCATATCCAAAAATCAAGAGTGACAGCTTACTTTTTTCCATTTTCTGAGACAAAGAATTTTCCCTTCTTAAATTTTTTTATTAAATTCTTAAATTTCAAAGAAATAATAATAATAAAAATATGTTTAGATAACATTATTTGTACTCATTAAATAGATACAATTTGTTGGTTGTAATTCTAATATGTTTAATATTCAATTTTACATTTATTATTTTATGTTGTTTTATTTTATGATATTATTTTACGGTTGACAGGGCGCGTGTAAACCGCGCATGCTCACTGATCTTGCGAACAAACCACGCCCTTGATGATGTCGTCAGACAAAGCTGTTTTAAAGCAAGGCTATGCAGCGCGCCGCGGAGGAGACCAGAGATGTTTTTTAAAGGATGTGTGTGGAGGAGCGGCTTCACCACGCTGAATAAATAAACTGCTTTCGTGGGGAAAAAACACATCTTATTTAATTTAATGAATCAACAGCCTATATGCAAAGCATCAACATAACCGTACTTGCCATTAAACATTCGTGTTGGACTGCTCTATCATTTAGAGCGTATATTTAGACCGAGGAAATGCTGTTTTATATCAGAAGTTACGGCACTGGGTTAATTAATTTCTATGGTATGCGCAAAAAGTGATGGACTTTTGCTTCACTGACGTTAAGGCTGTAATTAATGTGATTGGTTATCAAGGCACACGTGAATGAGTTCTCGCATGGTAGAGCCGCGGAGGTTGATATCTCCCCAAGTTTAGACCCTCTCTGCTCAGACTCGAAACAACAGGAAGACAGAAACGGAAACAGCAGAAGAACAAAGAAAATGAAAGTGTGTGAATGCACTATGGATTATTTGTGCAATTTCAAAAGAACGTGGATAATGGGGCAGTATTTAAAAAGTATTATGTGAGAAAGGGGAATAAAGCCTGTGAAAAATAAATCACGGGATGTCTCTGGGAGAACAGATGAGAAACAACTGATTGATCAATATCACGCAAGCGTTGCAAAATGTATGTAATAGCAAGGATACTAACAACCATTGCTTTGTTTCACCTGGGTAAGTATGCTATTACATCTATATTTGCTCTTCTGTTTAAAACTTGTTGATTAGTGTTGTTAGATTCCAAAAATTCTCATTTGGGCTATAGTTTATTGTGCCATGGACCACACCATGTAAAATGTAAAAGGGGGGTTCCATGGCAAATCAACAGACTCACAAAACAAAGCTTTCCTAGCTGAATGTGTATTATTCTGTGAATACGTGTGCTATTTTTGTTTGAAAATTGTCTATTTTTTTTTAAATCTCGAAAATCAAGATTTGTATATATATATATATATTTTTATACAAATAAAACATCTAGACTTTGCAATATTTGCTAACTCTTCTTTGCAGAACTGCTTAAATTCAGTTAATTTGCAGTTATTTCACAGATTTTCAACAAAATGTGATTATTTTAAAGGGATTCTTTATACCAACTGTGTGTGTGTGTCTGTGTCTGTGTGTGTCTGTGTGTGTGTGTGTCTGTGTGTGTCTGTGTGTGTGTGTGTGTGTGTATGTGTTCAAAAGTGTGGGATCAGTAAAATTTTAATGTTTTTTAATGGAGTCTCTTGTGCTCATCAAGGCTGTATATATTTGATTAAAAATACAGAAACACTGTAATATTGTGAGATATTATTTCAATTTCTAATATTGGCTTTCTGTTTTATTATACTTTAAAATGTACTTTATTTCTGTGATGCGCAGCTGTATTTTCAGCATCATTACTCCAGTCTTCAGTGTCACATGATCTTCAGAAATCACTCTAATATGCTGATTTATTATCACTGCTGGAAACTATTGTGCTGCTTCATATTTTTATTTTTATTTTTTACAACTGTGATACTTTTTTCTGGATAATTTTTTAAATAAAAAGTTAAAATGAACAGCATATATTTAAAATTAAAGTCTTTTCTAACAATATAAGTCTTTACTATCATTTTTTTTATACATTTAACACATCCTTGCTGAATAAAAGTATTCATTACATAAAAAAAAAAAGAAAGAAAAAAATGTACTGACCCCAAACTTTTGAACGGTAGTGTATATTGTAACACAAGATTTCCATTTTGAATAAATGCTGTTTTTTAATTTTACATTCATAAAAGAATCCTGAAAAAAGCATCACACAAGTTCCAAAAAATACGAAGCAGCACAACAGTTTCCAGCAGTGATAATAAATCAGCATATTATACTGATTTCTGAAGATCATGTGACACTGAAGACCGGAGTAATGACTGATGAGAATGTATGAATGTAGGGTGTATAAAAATGGTAGTGTATAAAAGCATATTATGTATTTTTGTTCAACCCCTTGAATTAAAACTTAACGTCTGCACTTCAATTTCATCTTGATTATTTTATTTTTAATTCTGTTCTGGTGGCATACAGTGCCAAAAATTATGGAAATTGTGTCAGTGTCCAAATATATACAGTTAGGTCCATATATATTTAGACAGACACAATTTTCATAATTTCGGCACTGTATGCCACCAGAATAGAATTCAAATGAAACGTTGCAGTCTGCGTGACAGTTCTTTAGGAAGTATACCCATGACTTTTCGATGCTGTTTACCAAAGTCACGGTGTTCCAGACTTTTCCTTTTCACCAGGACGTTGTTCTCTGTGATAGAAACCGGCTCACTCGTGAATCACAAGAAATACTCCTTGTATTTTCTTAACACAACATCAAATCTCTTCTTGTCACTCACTCTCCTCATCATTTAAATGTGTTCAGCTTCATTTCCCAAGGCATAGATTAATGAACTGACCTGGACCTAACCGTCTTTTTATCCAATTTTATTATAACACTTTATTATCACTGGGAAACGTGAACACACAAAACCCATCAAGTGTGATGAACTACCTCCCTAATCACAATGCAATCACATCCTCTCCCATCACAGTGGCCTTTGACATGCATTGGTTTATAGAGCTCTGTGTTGCAATAAAGGTGAAAAACATTTGGATGGTATTAGACTGCTCTAAAAAATGAATTAAAAATGTTACTGTATTTCATAAGTTTATCTAAATGTTTTGATTTTTCCCTCTTTAGGACTGTGCATGGACTTACCTGCCCCTGTACATCTGGTCCTGTCTTCACAATATTTAGTCCATTTGTTGTCCTGGAAAATGGGGCCAGGCTCACCCGATGGTGTCCACTATACAGTCAGCGTGCATGCACTCAAGTATGTGATGTACTGTTTTCACACATGGCAAAATAGAACGCAGAAATAAGAAATTTGGTTACTAATTGGAATGTATAATATATATAATTTTTTATATATTCCATTCCACTTTTGCATTGACACTATTTTTTCCTATTTGATACTGTAAAGTTGCTTTGACACAATCTGTATGGTTAAAAGCGCTATATAAATAAAGGTGAATAGAGGGAAATATGCAGGATTTTAGAAACAATACAGCATTATAAAGATATGTTGAGAGTCTATTCCTATTTCTACCTTTAAACCTAACCAAAAGCATTTTTCAGAAATATGTACAGTATAAAGTTAAACATGACAGACATATGAAATTATGTATTGCAACAATGTCAGAAGAACTACACCGAAAGTAGTCCAAGCGACAATGTGTTGTGGTCGCAGTACTTTCTGGTAGGATATATTAGTTTTGTGTGAGTAACAGCAACATTTAAGTTCTTAATCACTTGAAATATACTTGAGCATACATCAGTGTGAATTACCTAAAGTGACTGAAATTGATTTGAAGTGTAATTTGATTGTTTACTTTAGCTCAGGTCCATCACTTACATAGAGAGGGCAGAGTTTATGAGCTATACTGCAGCAAAATAGTTTTGGCTTCACTTTTCAGGACATGTGAGGCACACTTGATTTAAACGCACATCACAGTCTGTGACGAAGCAGGCGAGAGCCAGTGAGCGTTTTGATATCGTTGCTGTAAAACCTTTCATAAAGCTTCTTGATTTGGCAGTTAATGAATTTGTAACGAGCACGGATTTTGGGTCTGTTCCTCGCAATCGTTTGGATTCTAAAGATTTGGATTATAGCACACAAAACTGATTACTTTTGTGATTTTTGTGTTGTGTATTTTATGGTTCTATTGTCAGTCACAGCATGCCTTGTGTGTCCCACAGCAAACAAAATAAAAACTACATTATAAGTAATGGTTAAACGATTACAGAAAGTATAGTAACTTAATCCTTCGCGAGGAGTTGGAAGCACACAGAAGTCACACAGAATAGAATGAAATGTTATCATTTCATATTAAGTAAATGAGTAAACTACGTTTTAAAAAATTAAATAGAAAACAATGCCATTTATACGACAACTGAATGCAATATAATCAAAATTATAATGAAACAATTTTAGTATTCATGTAGCCTATTCTGTAAAGTTGCTCATATGAAATTAATTTACATTTTAGATGTTATCGATATGTAAATATTATGTTTAGATGTCACTATTGTACGTTTCAGTGTCTATGCAGACGTAAGTAAATGTGTGGTAGTTCCACACTTTATGTAAAAATACATATAAAAACTCATTAGAGCACGTTGGAAATACAAGTTCAGTTCAATTTGAATGGATGCTAATTCTGATTCTGATTCTGTTCTGTGTTGACAGTGGGGGCGAGGTGGTGGTGGAGGAGTGTGAAAAGGTGACCTTTCCTCTGCAGTGTAATCTCACAGAAGCCTTTTCTGATCTGGAAGACACCTATTACGTCAGTGTGTCTGCTGCTCTGGGCAACCTTACCTCACCATCTTCCTTCTGCAACCCATTCAAACCCATTTATAACAGTAAGAGAGAGACAGTTTCCTGTGATTTTTATTTGGACTATTTTTATTTATAGGCCTACATGAACCACAAAACATGCCCCATGGTTACGATCTTGGATTAATGTAAAGCTTCTGTAATACTTGTTAGGGGGGTTAATTATACAGGTCTTATACATCAAGTCTAGGCAAGGCACCTTTATATATGTGACCCTGGAGCACAAAACCAGTCTCAAGTCACTTGGGTATATTTGTAGCAATAGCCAAAAAAACATTGTATGGGTCAAACTCTTTATACAATACAGTTTGTTTCAAAGCCAATAGCTTTGATAGACAATAGTAAACAATAGTCATTATTCAGTTGAAATCAGTTCATTGTTGATTCAGTTTGACTCAATAACTGGGGTGCGTTTCCCAAAAGCATTGTTAGCTTACTATTGTCGCAAGTTCCATTGAACTCTATTGGTAACGACGGAACTTGCGACTATAGGTGCTTTTGTGAAATGCACCCCTGCTCAGCTTAGTTCAGTTCTCATCCAATAGTGTCTGTGTAGTCAAGTCAATAATATTGCCAAACATCAAGTGTCCCCAACTAAGCAAGCCAAACAGCGACATTGGCAAGAAACCCAAGTTCCACTAGCGGTTCTCCTTTGGCCAGACAAACCAACGTGATTTGGTTTAATTCCAGGCTGTAACACAAGATTATGGACTGATATCTTTCAGAACAGTTCATCCAGTTTCTTCTCCTTTGAAAATCAGGATATATCAGCCAGCGTTTGGTGGGGGGAATCGAAGCTGGCCATAGGGTCTGTGCAGAAGACTTGTCTGGTTCTCATGGTTTAAAAAAACTCAAAAACTCCTCCAATTGTCTATGAAACCTATGTTATTCTGTGGGCACCACTTAGACATCCAGCTACCGCCTCACAGTCGCCCTGCGGTGGGGCTCTGCAACTGGAACGGTTCAGTTGTGCGGGACTTGCTAAGACTTGCAAAGTTTGGATGTGTGTCTCTAGTTCTGAAATCTTCTCTGTTAGCCTGACTGTCCCCCTGCATTTATCACATGTGAATCCCTCGCCGCTGACAGAGAAGGCTACACTAAACATGTGGCAAGCAGTGCAAGTGACAACAAAAGAAGTAGCAGCTATAAACCTCTGGCTTGCTTAGTTGGGGACATTTAATATCCAGCAATATTGTCAACTTGATTGCAAATAATATTATTTAAACTGAACTGAGCTGGATGATGACATCACTGAATTCAATGATAATTTGAAAATTGAGTGTTTACTATTGTCCTTTTGCATTGTTGACACACTACTGTCCTATTAATACTGTAAAGCTGCTTTGACACCGTCTGTATTGTTAAAAGCACTATATAGATAAAGGTGACTTGACTTGACTATGACTCACCGTGATTGATTCCAACTTGTAAAAGATGGAGCGCGAGAGAGAGAGAAAAGAGATGTTCAAGCACAAATGACAATTTAACAGGCTAGCGAAATGCTAATGCGCTGCTCTAGTGGTTTAGATTATAAAGCTAGCGATGTCAAAGTAATCTGATAGACAATATCACATTATATATAGTGCCGTGAAAAGGTTTTTGCCCCCTTCCTATTTTTTTTTTTTTGCATATTTGTCCCACTTAAAAGATTCAGATCATCAAACACATTTTAATATTACACAAAGATAATGCAAGTAAATACAAAATGCAGTTTTTAAATGATGATTTCATTTATTAAGGGAAAAAAGCTGTCCAAACTTACCTGGCCCTACGTGAAAAATTAACTGCCCCCTCCTGTTAAATCACTAAAGAACTGTGATTAACCACATTATTTTAGAAAGCTGAGTTAAATTTCACTAACCAACACAGCATTTCATAAAAAGAACATCATCCCAACAGTCAAACATGGTGGTGGATGAAAGCATGAATTCTGCTCTCTATCAGAAATCCTGAAGGAGAATGTCCAGCCGTCAGTTTGTGACCTCAAGCTCAAGCGCACTTGGTTTATGCAGCAGGACAATCATCCAAAACACACCAGCAAGTCCAGCTCTGAAAGGCTCAAGAAAAACTAAGTTAAGGTTTTGGAGCAGCCAAGTCAAAGTCCGGACTTGAATCCGATTGAGATGTTGTGGCATGACCTTAAACAGTCCATTCATACTCGAAAACCTTCCAATGTGGCTGAATTAAAACAATTCTGCAAAGAAGAGTGGGCCAAAATTCCTCCACATCGATGTGAAAGACTCATTGCCAGTTATCGCAAACGCTGGATTGCAGTTGTTGCTGCAAAGGGTGGCAAAACCAGTTATTAGATTTAGGGGGCAATTACTTTTTCACATACGGCCAGGTTTGGACAGCTTTTTTCCCTTAATAAATTAAATCATTATTTCAAAACTGCATTTTGTATTTACTCGGGTTATCTTTGTGTAATATTAAAATTTGTTTGATGATCTGAATCATTCAAGTGTGACAAATATGCAAAAAAAAAAAAATAATAATAATAATAAAAAAACAAACAAAAAAAAAACAGGATGGGGGCAAAAACTTTCACACCACTGTATGTATATAATCACATGTGGTACTTGTGTAGAATGTCTCTTTCAGCATGTTTTTTTTTTCTTTTATGTCTTTTGTCTTATGTCTTTTTCTTTTTTTCTCTTACAGCGACCTTTGAGCCTCCGCTGCTGACAGTAACTACATGTAATCAGTCGCTCTGTATAAGTCTCAGAGCACCTGCTGAGAATCTCTACAGCGTCTACAATTCATTCAAGTTTTACTATAGATTGATGGTCAGCAGTGAAGATAGAGCAGAGGTGAGAGAACAAACTGGTCATGGTTTAATTTGGGTAAATTGAACAGATAATAAGAGAATGATAAGGAACTGTTCCAGAAAAGAATGGTAAGGAACAGTTCCAGCTATTCTTGAGCTTGTTTCAGCACAGAACGATTACAAACGGTTCTAACTGCTGTTGAAACCGTGCTGCTAGAATGCAGTGAAGTTGCCTCTCAGGATTGGTCACTTGGCTACTAGTTTCTCTCTGCAGCTGGCCAATTGTGCTACAGTATTTGAGCAAAATAAACAGAAATATCTGATCTTCCCTCATTACACGGTCGCTGTATCCCATACTGTATTTAAACACTTGCGTTACCAAAGCAACGGATGAAACATTTGTATTATGAGGTCTGCTATCAGCCCTACATACAGTATATATTTTGAAAATATTTACATGTATATTATATATAAATATATTTAGTATGTAAACATAACATATTTTTCTTAAATATGTACATGCATGACTACCAATACTATAATGAGATGTTGGTACTGTGACAACACGTACAGAATTGTGAATTTAATATTGTAAATTTAACCTTTAATCATCACAACCTTAATCATTTGTTTTTCACTATGGAATATGGTCTGAAAGAAGACATACTTTCAGACTAGGGCTGCACGATAAATCGCATGCGATATTTAACGCGCATCTTGTCAGAAAGCCGGTTCTGTAATCAGCGGTAAATCTCCATCACCGCTTTCACATTGAGCAGCATTAACTACACAGAGCCGTTGTTCACTGACGAGCTGCGCAAAAAATCGCACGATTATGAACGTGGTTTTGCGCAGCTTGCCAGTGAACAACGGCTCTGTGTAGTAAATGCTGCTCAATGTGATAGCACGCACATGATGGAGATTTACCGCTGATTACAGAACCGGCTTTACTGATAAGATGCACGTTAAATATCGCATGCGATTTATCGTGCAGCCCTATTTCAGACCATAAAACAATCATGATGCCAGTTCATTTGAAAATAAAATTGTACAAGAAATTACTGCGGCTGTGGCATTAGTCAACGGCCACATCTCCCTAGGTACCCATCCGGTTAATCGCTGCCCTTTACAGTAGTGTAATGAAAGTAAACTTTTCAACAACTGCAAATGTTGTATTTACTGCTCTTTGTGTTCACTTATAGTTTCATGTGGATACTGAAGGGTTAAAGAATGTGACCCTAAAGGACCTGGCCCCTGGCCGAAGGTACTGTGTGAATGTCAGTATCATTGATCACAGCCCTCCCAATAGACCAGCAGTATGTGCCTCCACTCACGAAAGAGCAAATGTTTCAGGTACCGTATTTTTCTACAAAATGCAATAGACTCCAACAGTATTACGTTGATACTATAGATTAAAAAAATGTAGTGGCTAAGTATAATGCATCAACTAATCATGTCCTTGACAACAGTTTCAATTTCAGTAGCTCTGATTGTTCTTGTATTTGATGAATTGCAAGAGACTGCTAACCAGATCGAGGTGCGCACCAAAAGTGCTAATGTGAAAGCACTTTAATTCATATCGTATCGTATCGCAAATCATCAAGTCAAGTCACCTTTATTTATATAGCAACTGAGATTGTGTAAAACAGCTTTACAGTGTTAAACAGCAAAATAATGTTTCAAGGATGCAAACAAAATTCAATTCTGCTGTAAAGCAGCTCTAAAAAGCCAAGCATTGCATTGAACTGAACTCTAGTTTGGACCAAGCGATGGCATCAAGTGTGAAAGCGCCCTTAGCTAGAAAACTGGTTAAACTAGACACAGCTGAAATACTGAACATGTAAACGTTTAGTGAATTTGCCCCAAAGTATGCTCAAATCCAGTGTTGTATATTTGTTTTAGATGCCATTATCTCTGTTATCCTGTGTCTGCTGATGGTGCTGTTAGTGATGTGCACACCAAGATTTGTTTCTCACCGTTTCTGTCTAAAAAGAGATCTTCCTTCAGTTCTGGTAAGTCTAGTCCTTTGTAGCTCGGAAGGTCATGGCAGACATTTTTCATTTCAAGAAGAGATGCAAGAGACTCAGTTTGTGACTAAAGTACCTAAGCAGAGGTATATTAAAATGAGCTTTAGCTTCACAAAAATGACTGTTTTCAGAAAGGTTCTAAAGGAATAGATCACCTAAAAGTTCTGAAAATGTACTCACCCTCAGGCCATTCAAAATGCTAGATGAGAACATATCTGGAGAAATTTCCACCACTTGCTCACCAGTGGATACTCTGCATCAGGGGTGTCCAAACCTGCTCCTGGAGGGCCACTGTCCAGAAGTGTCACCTGAATCAGCTAATCAAGGTCCTCAGACTCACTAGAACGTCCAGGCAACTGTGGTGGAGCTGGTTGGAGCTAAACTCTGCAGGACGTTGGCCCTCCAGAAACAGGATTGGACACCCCTGCTCTGCAGTGAATGGGTGCCGTCAGAATGAGAGTTCAAACCGCTTATAAATACATCACAATAATCACAGTTATTTAACATGACTCCAGCCCATTAATTAACATCTTGTGAAGTGAAAAGCTGTGTTTGTAAGAAACAATTCCATCATTTTAACTTCCATAATCCGTCATAACTCCAGTGCTATTCCTTTATATAAGGCTTCCTCCATTTTGTCCTGTCACATCAAAATCCACCAACATTGTTTTGAGCTATTTTAGACATTTCTTAATCTGTGCATATTTCTCTACTAGTTCAGACGAAACCACCGGAGAATTTCAGCCGGAAGCAATGGTTTGAGTTAAAAACACTGTAATGATGGATTTGTTTATTACAAACACGCAGCTTTTCACTTAATTAGATGTTAAAATCCCTTAACTGTCACCCCCCATTTTTTAAAATAGGCATGCAGGTGCACTATCCAAACTTAAATTGTTGTAATTTATGAACACTTTGGAATACAGACATAAGGTTGGTCTCTTTTTAAAGAAGAAAATCAGCAAATTATCGCAAAAGTGGAATTCAAAAAATTTAAGTATCAAAAAGTTATAGTAGTTTAAATTTACTGTAAAGAAAATGCACTATATTAATTTTATTTTATTTTATATATAATAAATATTTTACATATCAGGTTTTACTCTAAAATTGGTATAAAATTATAGCCTTATGTCTAAATAAGTTACGTTCCAAATTTGATGTTGATATGAAAAAAATTGAGGTTCCTGTGAGATTTTATTTAGGGCGTTATACCACAAACAGCCACCAGGTGCCATCCAAACTCCATTGAATTTTTTTTTAAGCATTTTTCTGTCACAAATGTCTAGATTGCTCTATCAATATTACTTCTATCTCAAAATAACCTTTCCAATGATATGATTTTTGTCAAGATTATAAAAAGTTTTGATTCTAAAAGACCGTAATTCATTTTGTAATATGACACTTGACACCGCCCACTAAGGGGGAGGAGACCGCCAAAAGATTTTAAAGTACCATTTCCATGGTAACGCAATGTCTGATTTCGAAATGGTTTTCACAGGATGAATCTTGGGCTTCTACGCTTTCAAATGATACATGATTTATGATGATTACTAAAAGATTTGATAGAGAAAAAAGACAACAAAAAAAAGAGCGCCAAATGTCCCACAGGTGGGACGGTGACAGTTAAGGGGTTTGATGGACTGGAGTGCTGTGGATTATTGTGATGTTTTTATCAGCTGTTTGGACCCTCATTCTGACGGCACCCATTCACTGCAGAGCATCCATTGCTGAGACAGTGATGCAATGCTACATTTCTCAAATCTGTTCGGATGAAGAAACAAACTCATCTTGGGTAGCCTGAAAGCGAGTAAAGTTTTTAATTTTTGGGTGAACTCTTCATTTAATTAATTGTATTTAATTTATTTTTTTAATACTGTGCATTGTAATTTCTTTTAAATAATTGACTTACAAACTGGTTCAACCGGCAAGTTTTCTCAAAGTACTTTATTGCATGACATTGCATAAATCATAAATCCAAATCCTTTTAAGAATAATATATATATATATATATATATATATATTTTTTGACATAATCACTAATGCGTGTTCTTTTCCAGAGTTCATTTCAGAGTGGGAATAAAGTTCTTCTTGTCACTGCTGGTGAATACACTAACAATCTCTGTGAGGAGAGAAACTCCATCGAAAAGATAAAGACAAACAGAGAGGAAAATGACATGGAAGAAGAGGCAGAGGAGGTTCTGAAATATGAGAGACTAGCGGCACGCTATCTGGACACTCAAGGTTCCCCACTCTCTGTTTTTCCAATGTCCTCTAGCTCTGTTCTGCTTATGAATCAAACTCCAGATACAAGCCTTACGTCTTCCACAGATGCTCAGAGTGGTAGTCTGATTGTGTTCGAAGGCAGCCATATCCATACTGAACCAACAGCCTCTCCTAGGCTCCCTAAAGGAGCAAGCGCACGTCAGAATTTAAGTTCTGTTTTTCCCACACACGTGGAGAATGAAGACAGAGAGAGCAGTGCAGATGTAAACCTGTTTTCTGTGATGTTAGGAGGAGTTTCTGATAAAGCTGAACCTGATAAAACCTGCACTACGGAAGATGTGCAGGACTCATGTCCTCGGCACCTGTTACAGACTTGTGCTACATCCACCTGGATTTCTGATTCACAGTCCCAAAACTCTCAAAAGTCCATTCAGATGAACGTTTTAGAGGAAGAAGATGATGATGATGATTTAGGGTACTTAAGTCGAAATTAGATTCCTGAGGAATCGAACAGTCTTTTACAGACTGGAGTAGATATGGGAATCTAAAAGCACACGCAAGCATTCTAAAAATTCTGCTAATACAGAGAGATGTATACTGTATTTTTATACTTTATTGATTTTTTTTCGTATTTTAAGTGTTTTTATTATTATTCTTATTATTATCTTTCAATACGCATTTCAGTCTGATGGAGATCATGGCATACCAACATGTATTACTCTTATTTGTCTGGATGAGGAACAAGTGTTTACTGGCAGACATGTTGACCCGGCACCAAGTTTTCTTAGGGGAAACACTATGCTCTTAGGCATTTCCAAGTGAATGAAGATGTGAATTAGTGTAGTGATGAAATATTTTTCATTAACAAAACATCTAAGTTGTCATCTCAGTCCTGTGGTCATTCTTACACAATGTGAATGCAATTAATAGCACCACGGGCCAGGCAGGATTTGGAAATGGGTGTAATGGCAAAACTGTTTTTCATCAAATGAATATGAGTTTTTACTACTAAGAATACAAATGTAAAATGCTGTAATTTGAATTCTTAATAGTAAGAAATAAACTGGAGAGCTCTCTAATTCAAATGTAATAGTAGTACTAGTAATAATCAAATTACTGATGAGAATTTAGCTCTCTGGTGGACACAGTGCCAGTAACAGCACTATAGAGTGGAACAGTCCGTTTCTCAAAGTAAAAAAGCACTTTATTTTCTCCATAGGAAAATAGATTTTTAATGAACTTAAAAGTGTTGGATTAACTTCCTATTTTCACTCAATTACCACTGAAAGAAATCGGCATCTAAAATAATGTTACAGCATCTTGATCAAGTCTTGACTAATATTTGACTTCAAACTGATATCAAGGTGCCTGCTGGGATATTGTTTCTACAATCAACAACTTTAAATGGATAATTTTTAATTTGTCATTTGCAATGGTTCATGGGATTGTAGTTCTTTCCCTCATTAAAGCATCGGGGCTCCCTGTTAAAAATCGTGTTGTGGGGGGGGTGTTAAATACACGTTTTTGGCAGGGTTCCCCTGGTAAAATTCGCACTCCAGGGGCTAAATATCACTTTATCGGAGTCGCTTCAACCCGCGGCAACAGTGTTAAAGTAGCCCAAGTCCGCGGTTTTCCCAACCAGTGTAAATAACATGATATTTATCCCCTGGAATGCGAATTTTAGCAGGGCAACCCCGCCAAAAAAACGTGTATTTTACCCTCCGGAACGTGATTTTTAACTGTGGACCCCCTCGAAACGCGATTGGGCTAGTTTTGAGTAGCAATTGGGCGGGATTTCTTGTGAAAACCTGGCAAGTGGCAACCCTGCTGCAGCATTAGCATTAGCCGTTATGCTTTTTTGGCTAAAGGTTGCAGGCTTGCCTTCCAGTGGGTTTGATTAGTTTCCAAGAGCGTGATTATAAATCCAGCGAGGCTGTAAAAGAGCACTACTGAGTAGATGAGATTCCTGTTCTGTGTGTGATGATGTTTAATGGCCCCGGCGACGACCTCTGTAGTCTCATTTAGCCCCTTGTTAGCAACCGCCTTTTTCAAGACATTACTGTTCCTCCCAAAACATAGCAGCGTGGTAAGACAATTTCTTGCAGATTCGCTGCAGGAAATATTATTACTATTAATTTTCAACTAGTTGCTGTACAGTATAGTGCGTGCATAATTATTCAGCAAGTTGATATTCTGATCAAACCACAATTCCATGCCACATTAGTAACTACTGTTAATTTTGTTTATTTTCAGCGTGTTAAATCTCATTTTGGCCCATTTTATCTGTAAAAGAAAACATATAAGGCATTTTTCACTTCCATCCCTCATTAACAATTACTTATAAATGATTATATACTAAATTAATTGTACTAATTAATAAAGAGTGATGTTGTTTCAAATCTACCTTGTGTGCCGTCATAGTACAATTTGTCTCAAGCATAGTCAGGGATGCAGTTTGGAAAATGGGATGTGGTTTATGGAAATCCTTACTCCACAAGAGAGAGAAAGACACAAGAAATTGTGGCCTAAGGTGGAAGAAGCCTAGTAAAGCTGCATACTAGCTGGGTGCTTATGCTTACATTACTACATTAACGGAGTTGAGATTCATTTGCATGTGTCTGCTATAAGATTAAAAATCTATGGACAAAAACCCTCTCTACAAACAAAGTTCCTGTTTGCGGCCGAAATTTGCAGCCTGTATGAACTAAATTCCAGACTACCAACTATGTTCACTTCAACGGATGATGCTTCTGTATCGTAAATAAAATCACTGTCTTTTGGTATAATTGTATACTTACATGAGTTGACAGACATTTGGAGACAATCCAAATAATAAAAAAATAATTTGAAGTTATGCAGTTTTTCAGATATGGACAAACTATGGCAGCTTTACAAAATAAGCTAGTTCACATCTAAAGGTGAAAAGCTGAATGAACCTTTGTAAGGTCAAGGAAAAGATGGAGAATACATCCTACATTTTTAGATAAAAATCAGGCTACTTTAAATAGAGTATTCATCAAGTAAAACTTAAAGGGGTCATATGATGTTGCTAAAAAGAACATTATTTTGTGTATTTGGTGTAATGAAATGTTTATGTGGTTTAAGGTTAAAAAAAACACATTATTTTCCACATACTGTACATTATTGTTTCTTCTCTATGCCCTGCCTTTCTGAAACGCGTCGATTTTTACAAAGCTCATCAGTCTGAAAAGCAAGGTGTGCTGTGATTGGCCAGCTATCCAGTGCATTGTGATTGGCCGAATACCTCAAGCGTGTGACGGAAATGTTACGCCCCTCACCATACTGTTGATGCCGTGTCC